CCAAAATGTGGTACATCCACACAATGGAATGCCACTTAGCAATAAAAATGGACGCGTTAATGACACACACAACAACCTAGATAAATCTCAAAATCTTTACACGGAGTAAACAAAGCCAGACACAAAAGAGCATACACATACGATTCTGTTTATATAAAACTCTAGAAAATACAAACTAATCTATAGTGACAAGCAGAGCAGTAGTTACCTGGGGCCGTGGCAGAGAAGGGGTGGACTGCAAAGGGACACAAGGGAACTTTTGGGGGGTGATGAAAATGTTCTGTATCTTCATTCTTCAATGTGGCAGTGGTTTCATGAGGTATATATATCTGTCATAACTCAAAAATTGTATACTTTTAAGTGGATGCAGTTTATTTTATGTAAATCATACCTCAACAAAGTTGATTAAAAGACATCTCCACAGACTGGTTTTGCGAATTAAGCGAGAAAACATGTAAAAGAGCAGGGTCAGTCGCTGTCTCCTGGTCAGTGTTTGGTAATGAATGGTGCCGGCAGAGATGTTGGTGGACATTGTGCCATGAGAGCAGAGTGTTCACTTGGGAGTCAGAAGATCAGAGTTTGTCTTTGAGTTCTGCTATCTGTGTATTAATCTCTAAGCCTTGATTTCTTAATGTGTGAAATGACAAGTTTCAATAAAAGTTCCTTAAAGCTGCGACAGTCTGATTCTGAAGTGATGATGCTACACGGCAGCCAGCACCAGCTTCTAACAATATGCATTTATAATGTGTGTAAACTTTAGTATTCAAAAGGTTTTGCTCTAGCATGTAACAGTTACTTCCTGAAATGTAGCATTTTGACACAATGAGAAACGTGGAGTAAGCAGAATTTCAGAAATCCTTTGAAGGGAGTTGGGAAGAGGCTCAAGAAGGGTAGGGAGAAGCCTAGAGAAGAATACTAGTTGAGTAAATCTTCTAGGGATCATGAATTTAACTGTTTTCTGTGTTTCCATTTGGCAGTTTTTGCCAAAGAGCTTTAAGGTCTGCTCCCTGAATTTAATGTTCTCTTACTTAAAACACAAGTCTCTTGATGCTCTGAACAAATACAGAAGCAACTAGGGGCTGAAGCTGTCCAAAAAAGACACTCTGCAGGAAACAACTTGCCCTACACTCACTCATGAGCACCATTCAAGACTGGCTAGATCCTCAAGCCTCAGATCACCTGTCTTCATTACCACTGTCCCTTGCCCCGGTTCAAATCTGAGGCTCCTGAGTCGCTGCTCCTCTGGCAACAAGTACTTCAGTTATTAGCCATTAAAATTTCCATGCGTACTGTTTCCTTAACCACCTAACAGCTTTGTTAATGTCGGACAGGGACCTTGCTTCCTGAGTCCTTTGGCATATCCTCCTGGATGGTCATCCTGTGACAATCCGTGAGGACAGGCAGATCAGAGTCACCAATCTTCGAGCCACTAGAGCTGCCAGAAAACAGCCTAGGTGCATGTCTGGGAATGCACCTAGAAATGCACAATACCTTCTTAATAGGGTCACTAGGAATTATCAGTGGGCAAAGAAGTTTGGGAGCTGAAAGGAGTTTAGTGGGTGGAGCTAAAAAGAAAGATCTGGCAAAAAGAAATGAGCCTGTCAATAAGCGATATTGGAAAAGCAAAGAAAATGTTGATGAATTATGACAGTATGCTCAAAAAAGTCTTACTAACTCTTAAGAGTATCCAATACACTGGATTCCTGACCTCAGTGACTACCCTTCTATCTTGAAAGCCCTTTGGAATGAGATAAGGCAAAAGCAATTTTTTACAGAACTCTCTCCCTCTCCCGTCCCTAGTCCTGGCTTTAGAGGCACCACAGCAGGATTATCAAAATTTTGTGCACAAAACAGCCATCCAGGGAATTTATTTAAATTAATGTGGATTTCTAGGTCTCAACTCCAGCTCCTGATATGCAAGTGGCTTTGGAATCTGTATTTTAATCACAATCCCAGAATAATTCCCAAATGTCCTATTTGACCCTAACCCCAATCCTGTGAGGTGACTAAGGCACAAGTAATCATCCAAGTTTTACACACTTGATTTGCTCCTTCACTTTGTAGTCACATACAAAGGTGTTAAAAGAAGGATTTGGGACGTGCTCCCAGCCATGACAGAGTAGCTGGTACTTTACTTGCACTCCCACTCTAAAAAACTAGAAAACTTGAAAAAAATACGTGAAATAACTGTTTTCAGACACTGGACAATAGGAGCGCAGGACTGTGATCCACGACAGAAGGGAACCAAATGAGGTGAGCCCTATGATCACCTTGGTTTTCTGCCTAGAGGTACTTCTGGGACTCTGGCACAGGGAGGGGAATTCCAAGCACAGCATAACAGTCTTTCTGAATTGAGGAAAGAGAGACTGAAGTTTAGGAGGGCTAAGGGGCCCTGGTGGTGCAGTGGTTAAGCATTTGGCTGCTAACCAAAAGGTCAGCAGTTCAAATCCACCATCTCGTCCTTGGAAACCCTATGGGGCAGTTCTACTCTGTCCCATAAGGTTGCTATGAGTCAGAATCAACTTGATGGCAATGGTTTGTTTTTTGTTTTTTTTTTTTTTTTAAGGTGTCTAGAATTTGAGAAGCAGAGTATGACAGACAGGGGAGCTATGAGTAAGAAGAGTTCCAGAAATCTAGTCTGACTGAATACTAAGTTGTGTATGTGCAGGGTGAAACTCCACAAAGCAGGGCAAAGAATCACTACCAGGAAGGTATAAGCTGAATAATTTCCAGAGCCTATACAGAACTGGAAGAGGTTCAGTTCCACTCAGCCAGAGTGAAGATACCTTACTTAACAACTAGGAACTCAGAAGAGACACCATAGCAGTAAGGGCTAAGCTAACCCTTTGTTGTTGTTAGCTGCCATCAAATCAGCCTCTGACTCATGGCACTCTATACCTGCCCTAATAAAGCTTAAAAATAATTCTCAATATTATGCAGTTGATCAAATAAATTAACTGTCTACCAAAACAAATATATTCATCTTTAAAGGAAAACAAGATACAGATACTCAACATAATAACATCCACAATGTCCAGCACCTAATCAAAAATTACTAGTAAAGTGAAGAAGCAGGAAAATATAACTTGTAACCAAGAGAAATATATATGTCAATGGAAACGAACTCAGAAAACATAGAGGTGATAGAATTAGTAGACAAGGACTTTAAACCAGCTACTCTAAGTATGTTCGAAAATAAAGGAAATCATGAACAAAATGAGGAAATAAATAGAAAGTATAAAAAGAACTAAATGGAGATTACAGAGCTGAAACATACAATATTTGAAACAAAAATTTCACTGTATGGGTTTAACAGCAGTTAGACATCGTAGAAAAACTGTAGCAACCCTGAAGACACAGCAATAGAAACTATCCAAACTCAAGCACAGAGGGGAAAAAAAACGACTGGAAAAATAAATAAATAAAATAAACAGAGCCTCAATGACCTATGGGATAATATCAAGTTATATAACATAAACCAAAACCAAACCAGTTTTCATCAAGTCGATTCCGACACATAGCAACCCTATAGGACAGAGTAGAACTGCCCCACAGGGTTTCCAAGGAGTGGCTGGTGGGTTTGAACTGCTGACCTTTTCGTTAGCAGCCGAGCTCTTAACCACTGAACCACCAGGGCCCCTTACATAACACACGTACCTGTAATAGGCGTCCCAGGAGAAGTAGCAGGGGAGAAAAAAAATCTGAAGGAATAATGGCTGAAATCTGATGAAAACTATAAACCCACAGACTCAAGAAGCTCAATGAAACTCATGTAGGATAAATACAAAGCAAGCTACACCAAGACATATCATAACCAAATTACTGAAAATAACTGGTAAAGGAAAAAAAAATCTTAAAAGCAGCCAGAAAGAAAAAAAGAAATATTACATACAGAAGAACAAAGATAAGAATGGCCAATGCCTTCTCATTAGAAACTAAACAAAGCTAAAAGAAAAATATATATATTGGCCTGGAATTCTATATCTGGTGAAAATATCCTTCAAAAATGAAGGTGAAATAGACATTTTCGGACAAGGCTGACAGACTTTGTTGCCAGAGGACCTACTCTAGAAAAATACCAAATGAAGTTCTTCAGGCTGAAGGAAAATGATACCAGATGGAAACCTGGATCTGCACAAAGAAATAAAGAGTAAGGAAATGGTAAATATCTGGGTCAGAAAAATAAGGCTTTGATCATTTGGGCCCTAAGCATAATCTCCCTTCGAGAAGGTTTATTTTGAAAGATATACACAAACTTCACCTTTTCTCTTGAGTTTTGAACATGGGCTTTGCCACAGCTGCTAGCCTTTTTAGTGCTGTTTCCACCTTCAATTATATAGTCAGCCATTAACTGACCACTATGTGTCATGAACTGGAGATGCACAGGTAAATAACACTTGGTGTCTGCCATCAAGGAGCTTAGAGCTTGGTGTGAAAAACAATCAAGCCAACAAAGAGTTAAAGTGTTTTGTGTCCTAACTGTACTTAAACCTTGGCTCTAGTCACTTGAGCAGCTTACTTAACCTCTCTGTGCCTTACTGTAAAATGGGGACAACAATAGGACCTATCTCATAGGATTGTTGGGAGGAAAAATGTTCTAGCACAAACTGGTAGAACAGGGCCTGGCATGTAATAAACACTCAATAAATATTAGCTATTGTTGTTGCAATGGAGGTTTGCTCAGGAGGTTGTATGAGCACAGAAGGACAATGAAGTGAGACGGAGTGGGATGGGAAGGGAAGGCATTTCAGAGGAGGTGACGCTTCAGTTGAGTTTTGAAGAATGAGCAGGTTTATCCAGATAAAGATGGGGTGAGGTATTCCAGACAGAGGCAGCAGCACTTAGCAAAGCATGGAAATTGGGACAACGTGCTGTGATGAGGCCACTGCAAACATTTTTACTAAGGCCGCAGCAACAGTGCCTTATCTGTAGCCCAGGAAATACCCTGGGCATTCTGGGACCTCTGGAAGCCCCTGTGACTTCCTCCAAGGGCATCTTACCTCCTCCATCATCGGATCCATCCAGACTGTGCTGTCTGAGGCGGTGACTGCTCCCAAAAAGAAGAAAAGGAAATCAGAAAATGAGTTTAAAACACACAAACAGCCAAAAGTTTTATTGTATCCATTCTTTCTCCTAGATGAAAACGTCCCTGGACTCTTTTACTTCCATTAGTTTGGTCAAACTCAGTTAGGCAACTGGGTCTGCCATGCACAGTTGCACAGGCTGTGCAATGCACAATTCCAGAAGGTAGCACCACACAGACTATGATATGAATGTTCCCCATAACCCCAGAGTAGAGAAATTGGGTGGCCCTGGGTGCCCATGCCTTGACACTTCACCTTTATCTAGAACCCTTCTTCCTCTCTTTGATACAAGCCTTAGGAGAAGGCTAGGCTTAGAAAGCTAGGGTTGTTTCTGCTCGTCTATTTCAATAAAGCAAAACCCACAGGTTAGTATCCTGATAGCTGGACACAATTCTAAAAAAGCACATGGTGGGAAATAAAGCACATGAGATATACTAATTTGCTCCTATTCCCGCTATTGAAATCCCCCTTCAACACAACACCCCAAAGCACGGGCATCAATGCCAGAGCCTACACTTCTAGTTGAGGGACCCCCATTAGCCAAACCCTTGATTCAGTAGGCCTAATTCCAGCCCTGGACCACAGCCAGCTTCATACTGTCTATTTTTGAATGCTGTGTTCAACAAAGGCTGAATAGATAATGACCACCAAGACAGCACTGTTGACAAAAGTCACCAAAGAATACCGTAAGAATACTGGAAACAAAAAAATTAAAAAATGCTGGAAATTATTTCTCTATAAAAACCCATGTATTTGCTCACTATAAAAATTAAAATTAAAGTTAATAATTTTAACTTTTACAGTGAGTAAATCCATTGGTTTTTATAGAGAAATAATTAATTTTCAGCATCTGTACAGTTGGACAATAAATGAGATACTTATATTAAAAAAAAAAAAAAAAAGAATACTGGAAACATACTCTTCTATTTCTTCAGAAGCCTTCCTTCCAAACCTGAAAAAAAGAAAAGACAAGGCTTATGAGAACTCACTAGTCTCATGTACTGGGGTGGTATGTTGGAGGGCAAATTAGTGTACCCCAAGTGCTTTACTTGTCTGGATCCCTCTTTAGAAACCAAGCTCCATACTCAGTATGAAACAGTTACAGACACTGTAATGCCTTCTTATAGCCTTATTTCAACATAACTTCAAATTAAATTGTTGAGTTTAAGTGCAGGTTACATGAGAAGCTCAAAACTCAAATGGATATAGATGATATGGTGTCCTTCTTTCCTTCACCAGTTAACTGACCAATTTACAGAACAGTTTCCTATACTAAGGCCCTGGGTCCTATTTGGTGCTGTTAGTTGTTAGCATGTGTTGTTTCCTAGAAGCAAAAAGGGATGACTTGGCCATGCGGTCCAGGCTGCAGGCTCAGGGCCTGTCTTTCTGTATCCTCAGCAGGAAGGACCAGAGGGCCCTACGAATGATGTTGCACGAGAAGTTCCCCTTAAGACACTCCATGAGAACAGGAAGCCAGGTTTTACACACCTCTGTTCATTTAAGACAGCAGTTCCCTAAACTTTAGAGTGTACAAGAACTGGCAAGCATGTTAGACACACAGATTGCTGGATCTGGCAGTGAGAGATTTCTCAATCAGCTGGTTTGAGGGAGTGGGGCAGGAATATGCATTTTAAACACATTTCCAGGTAATTCTGATTTAAGCAGATCACTCATGATAAGTGATCTAAAGACTTCTAAATAAGATGGGCAAAATGTTGATAATTGCTAAGGCTGGGTGCTGAGTACCATATGGTGATTACTTTTTTGTGCTGAAAATTTCCACAATAACAAAATTAAAAAAAAAAAAAAAACGAATTCTTTTAAGTCAGAAATCCATCACCACGATAAATAGGGTGTGAGGGAGGTGGCAAAGTCACAGCGGCCAGGAGGTGGATTGCATGGGAAGGGGCCTAACAGGGCTGAGCCCACAAACCCCGCCAGTAAAAGAGGCATCAGCGCCAACCAGCAATTCCTGCAATATGAAAACTCTCCACAAGAGTATAATAATAAATTAAGCCCAAGTTTAAACAGACTGCCTCAATGTAATTTAGACCATATCAACTGCACTGTTTTGTTTTGTTTTTGTTCGTTTGTTTGTTTTGTTTTAAACCGTCAGGGAGGGAGAAGTGAATGGATAAAGTTAGAAGAATAAAACCAAAACCAGTTGCTGTTGTGCCAACTCTGACTCATGGCAACCCCATATGTGCAGAGTAGTAAGGTTTTTCAAGGCTGTGACCTTTCAAAAGCAGATCACCAGGCCTTTCTTAGGAGGTGCCTCTGGGTGGACATGAACCTCCAACACTTCCGTTACCATTTGCACCACTAACAATTCTGTGGTGATCTCCCAAGCTGCAGGTTTTGATTCTTAAAGGGCAGAGCAAGGAGACTAAGCAAATAGGGGCGGGAAGGCCAGTTAGGGGTGGGAAAGCCAGTGTGAAAGAAAGGGCTGTAGGAGGATACCAGAGGCAAACTGCACCAAGGGTGCCCAGAGCACCACCACCATGGTGACATAGGTGATCCAAGATGGAGGTTTCCAAAGCCTGTTCTAAGTCAAAGGGATCTTAAATGTAGAGCTCCTGGTGGCCGCCAAAGCCATCTTCTGTCTGTATGGGAAGATATAAAGCTCTTCTCCTAGTTCACGGCCACTCCTACTACCTCTCCTGTCCTCATGAAGTTGACTCTATACACTGCTAGCCAAATGACTCAGCTAATATGTTACCAAGGGCAGAAGGGCTTGGATGGTAACAGGGATAAGACCAGAATAATGAGATTAAAGAGGCAAGGTAGACAAGGCCAGGGCCTTCATTTTGTACATTAAGGGACATATTCATCTCTGATTACCCTTAGGAGTTATGACTGAATCGTCCCTTTCCTAAGCAATGTGTCCTGGCAAAAGCAGCGGTGATTTTGTCTAAAGAAAACAATAATGATAATGCTAACCTTCAGGAGAAGGCTGATTAACTGCAATTATCCACTCAACATCCTAAAACGGAGTGAGTTTAATATTCAGCTTAATTGCTGCTGAGCCCACATCCTGTTCTCTCACTCTAGGGGGCGCCCAAGGACTCATTCCACCCACAGAGGAAGGGTCTCCACAAGGAGTAAGATCAAAGTAGAGCCCTCAAGGATAGACAACAGGGTTGCCCTCAGGCAGTGGTCTATCTGTCTGTCTGTCTCTCTGCCATCTAGGTGAGAAATACAGGTCCTCGGGAGCCTTCTACTTGGGAGATGGAGGGGTTAGTGGGAGCCTGGGTGGGGCCCTGGAGAAATGGCATGGCACACCCTGCCTCTGACCCAGGTTACAGACAGAAAACTGTCCACTTCTGGGCTTATCTAGCCTGCAGATGAGTTTGGTCTGGACCACACTGCTGTTTATTTTTTGTTTTGTTCTGTCTGGTTTTAACACGAACTAGTTGCCAAAATTGGGAGATTTTACACAAAAATCTAGACTTATGAATTCTTAAAATAGAAGCCTGGTGACACTGGACCTGCATTCCCACATGTAAAAGTCAGGTGACGTGGAGCTGTGGCTGCCTCCTTACTGAGGCGGAGCTCTGCCCTCCCCACAGCTCCCTAACACTGGAGTCCAGCGCTAGCTGCTACACTGAATCTGCACTGTCCTTTCTTGTATAGTAGGAGCTAAGAGGCAAGGGAAGTATTTCCTGTAGCTATGCTGCAATCCAAAAAGAGAGTAAAAGGACTACTTAGTGGGAAGCATGTTTTCAGAGAACTGGGAGAAAGTATGTCTCTTTCTTCTTTTATAGAGTATTTTCTTTATAGAAGTGTGAATATGAAAAGAAACTAGTGTCAGAAATATAATTTAAAGTGTCATTCTAAAACAAACACCCTACTTCACAGATTTGCTTTACCTGTCTGGACCCCAAAGTCACCTCAGTCCAGCACAGTGAGACAGCCCAGCACAGTGACACACAGCCCAGGGCAGTAATACACAGCCCAGCATAGTGACATAGAGCCCAGAGCAATGTTTTTCAGACTACAGCTCATGACCCATTAGTGAGTCATGGAATCAATTTAGTGGATCACCACCAGTTCCCTGACCCCACTTTTTATTTCATAAAATAACACAGGATGGAAAAGAGTGCGCTGTAAGTAGTAAGGAGAAGTATTATGCACACGTTCTGTTTTTAGTTTTATACACACATACATCATGTCATTATGTAAAGTAAATTTTTTTATTGTTGGTCATACATTAAAAAACAAAACAAAAAACTAAAACATAGGTGTCTACAACAACCCATCAAGGTGGGTAACCAGAGGATTTGGAGCTGAGGTCCTGCCTACCACTGATTGTGTGGCATAAACACTCAATTTTGAGTTCTGGGTCATCTCTTCCTTAGAGACACAGTTCTCTTCTAAGTCATGAAGACTCTGAGGTTGTTGAGGCTTGTGTGACCTGGCTCTAACCCCATGGCAGGTCGTCCACAGAGCTCTGGTCAGCACAGCCCATGTGGTCTATCATTGCCCCATGGCCCCTGTGCCTCTGTGCTCAGAGTGGCTAAAAGAGTATCTGACAGCCTATTACCATAATAATACTAGTATGATCACCTCAGAGAGACAGAGCACTTGATACTCTTCCGAGATTTTTCACATCACATCACAAGCCACACAACTCTAGGGAAGAGGGAAAGCGGGTTTCAGTAGCACCACTTTCTAGATGGGGACGTTGGGTACTGTGGTTGGACGTGTGCTAATTAGTGATGAGACTGAAACTAGAATCCCAGTCTCTCAACTTTCCAAAAACACAGCCCCAAGTCTTTCCAAAAGCAGGCACTGGCTGATTTCCCAGTGTCCCTAGGGCACCCAGACATCTGCTTGGATTTACTGTACAGACAGTCCATTCCTGACTTCCTACACATAAGGCAGGCATAGACAGAGATGGTACAGACAGAAAATTGAAAGCTGGAGAGAATCCTTTAAATCAGTTGTGCAAAACAGAATCACACCTGGGAAGTTTTTCAGTGTGCATTGCCTAGGCCTCATCCCATAGGCCATGAGGTAGTAATTTCTAGAAATGGGACCCAGTCAAGTATATAAGAATCACTGTCCTAAGCCTTACTTCACACATTAGGCTGAACACTCCAGCTGCTAAGCAGCAAGGCTGAAATGCATTTGCCTTAGCCTTCTGAGATGCTTACTTTCTTATAACTAAAGTGTTAATGAATACGGACTTGACCCAAAGGCTGAGGGGAGGAGAGGAAGAAAAAGCAAGGGGCCCAAACGGTCCACAAGCCTCCATTCCCGAGTGATCATGAATTGGAAATCCTGAAATTCCGACAAGATACCATGGCGGTAGTAAAAAACAAGCAGGTGAGGGATGGCTTTAAGATCTCTTGCTCTCCACCGTGGCAGGCCCAGAAGTAATTCAGATCTGATTAGAGATGCCTGTTCAATATTCAAAATGTAAAACATAGAGGTTGCTGAACTAGCACTTTGAAAAGTTAATTAAATGCCAGGTTTCTTTTTAAGAGCTACTCCATCACTTGCTGATTGCTTTGGCCATTTTGCAGAATGAAGCTTTAACTCTGGACAAAGAGAGTAAATACCCTCCCTCACCTCCCACCTTCTGGAGACAGGGTGACAGGATAAGGACACACTGCCTTCCTCCTTTCCAACAAGTGATGTGCCCAACCTGGTCAGCGACTTGGCCAGAGGCGACATCATGGTCATCTCTGTGTGGCCCTTTCCAAATTGCTCAGAACATTCATCCATGAAGCTGCTTTCTTTAGATATCATGTTCTCAGGTAGAGGACTTTAAGGTTAAGGGGCTTGTCTCACCAGGCTACTCACATTTAGAGCTCAGTCCCTCAGCTCAACACTCAACCAGTCCCTCCTGACTTTCACTGCAGCTTCTCTATGACCTATGCTTGGTTTCTCCTCCTTGGCTTGATGCATCCACCATCAATTCTCAGGAGAAAGCCCTTTCCCAGGCTT